ACAAGGTGTGTGTGTGTGTGTGTGTGTGTTGTGCTGTGTGTGTGTGTGTGCGCGCGAGAGTGTTGTGTGTGTGTGTGTGTGTGTGTGTGTGTGTGTGTCCTGTGTGTGTGTGTGTGTGTGTGTGTGTGTGTGTGTGTGTGTGTGTGTGTGTGTGTGTGTGTGTGTGTGTGTGTGTGTGTGCTGTGTGTGTGTGTGTGTGTTGTTTGGCAGCACTTGGTGCATGCCAGACTCCTCCCCTCCCTGTTCACCCCCTCCGCCTATTTTTTTTTCTTTGTGGATGACAGGAGCGACTGGCGGAGGTTCTGCGTGGGCTGCGGTCGAACCGCGGCAGCTTGAGCTGGTTCACCAAGGGCGTCATCGCCGCCCTCCTCGTCATGCACTTGATCACATACATCCCTGGCGGCTACAACGCCATGGCCCTCGCCCCGGGAGAGTACGTGTGTGTGTGTGTGTGCGCGTGTGTATATGTTTGTGCTCTTGTGTGTTCGTATGTGTTTGTGTTCTTTTGTGTATGTACGTTATTGTGTGTTTGTGTTCTTGTATGTGTGTATATGTTTGTGCTCTTGTGTGTTTGTGTTCTTTTGTGTATGTACGTTATTGTGTGTTTGTGTTCTTGTATGTGTGTATATGTTTGTGTTCTTGTGTGTGTGTGTGTGTGTGTGTGTGTGTGTGATCCGCATCAGCGCTGCCGTCGTCGTTCAACGTGCCTTGTTTCCTCACACACTGTCCCCTCTCGTTCACCCCACATGCAGAGTGGGGCCGCCCAGTCTCCACATCTGGACCTTTGTCACAGCGCCGTTCACAGAAAAGGCACTCATCCAGGTACAGCAAGTGTGTGTGTGTGTGTGCATGTTTACGTTTATGTGTGCCACACGATGGTCAGCTCGAATTAGCCGCGGAAAACTGCTGCTTATCACGCGTCCCTCCTCCTCCTCCTCCTCCTCCTCCTCCTCCTCCTCCTCCTCCTCCTCCTGGTGCTGCTGCCACAATCGTGTGACGCTGCAGGTGCTGCTTGACATTGTTGCCGTCTTCGTCTGTGCGAGCATGCTTGAGCCCTTGTGGGGCGGCTTCAAGCTCCTGGTGTGTTACCACCGTATGTGTGTGTGTGAGAGTAAGGCTCACAGTGAGAGTGAGAGTGAGAGCGTTTGTCTGCCTGTCAGTCTGTCTGTTTGCCAATGCCTATCTGTTCATCTGTATGTATGCCTGTCTGTCTGTCTGTCTGTGTGCCTGTATATTGTACTTGTGCATGCGTGTTCACACAGTGCACAACTCACCTGTGCGCGCACACACCCTCTTCCACGGGCCATGCTAGGAGATGATTGTGGTTGTGGGGGCGGCTGCCAACCTGGTCACCACCCTGTCGTACATTGCCCTCTACGCCGCTTCATCCAACCCAGACCTTCTGTTAGTTCACCGAGCAGGACGTATCTGTCTGTGTGTGTGTGTGTGTGTGTGTGTGTCTGTCTGTCTGTCTGTCTGTCTGTCTGTCTGTCTGTCTGTCTGTCTGTCTGTCTGTCTGTCTGTGTGCGTGTGATGCAATGTGTGTGTGTGTTTTTTTTTTTCGTGTCGTTCCGCATTTTACATTTGCCACACCTTCCTTCATCCCTACACCCTCCACTGCTGCTGCTGCTGCTGCTGCTGCTGCTGCTGCTGCTGCTGCTACCATCACCTTTGCTTGTGTCGCAACGCAGGTTCTTGCCGTTCTCGGGGTTCTCTGCTGTCGTGTGCGGGCTGGCTGTGGCATACAAGCAATCGTTCCCTCAAGCAACCGTACAGCTCGGCCTCTTGCGTGTGCACACCAGGGTGAGTCACTCACATCACATGCAACCCCAAGTTCGCATTGCACATTTGCCTGCGGCCATTGTGAACACCCTTCGTTTCTCACCCAAATCATACCACCACACGCCGCACCACACCACACGCAACTCACCTCCAACACTACAAAAACCACTCCATCATCGCACCACACCACACTGCTAGCATCTGCCGCTTGCGTTGATTGCAGCGCATGTAGCGTTTTACCTCCTTGGCACGGGGTCCCTTGCCCAAGTCATCCTCAGCGCGTCCGGGTTTTTGACAGCGTGGGTGTTTCTGCGCTTCTACCAGAACAGGAATGGGGTGAAGGGCGATCCCTCGGACGCGTTTGGTTTCGAGTCCTTCTTCCCCTCCGCTGTGCAGTGAGTTTGCTTCTGCACAGATGTTGTGTTGGTGTTGTTGTGTGTGTATGTGTGTCTCCGTCTGTCTCTGTGTGTCTCTGTCTGTCTGTGTCTCTCTGTCTGTCTGTCTGCGTGTCTGTCTGCGTGTCTGTGTGCTGATCACTATTGCCTACTTGCATTTGCCCTGTCATACTTGTTCTGTCAGAACCAATTCAGCCACTCACTCATACCCATTCATAACACACACACACACACACACACACACACACACACACACACACACACACACACACACACACACACACACACACACACACACACACACACACAC